TATGACTTTCCATTCAAGATGTATAATTTGACATCTTTCTAACTCTGTGTTGTTATTACAGACATATTAAGTATGGGTGACATCTCCATGGAAACCACTGATGTTCTGACACCAACATCTGATAGTGAAATGAATATCCCAAATGTTTGGCCATCTGAGTTCTTTCCGTTCAGTCCATTGGTTGTTGCTGTATTACAGGAATGGAATTCCTCTTCACTGAAAGGTAGCTTGTATATTTTTAGCCGTCTTCACATAGTGTAAGAAGGAGACTTATGTTTTGGGCTCTGTCTGTCAGTGTGTCTGTCCGACGTCATTTTGCTGAATGCCTGGACCAATTTGGTTGGATGAGACATAATGTGATTTTGAGAGATGACTGGATATTGTTGCCATGGAGACTATTATACATGCACGTTTATGATGCAAGTCCAATAGATCGTTACCAAATATAGCTTCTCTTTGTGGCAAGATTGTCTTGACGTGTTTAATGAGCAAACAAGAATTCCCCTGGCAAGAGTTGTAATTTTAAAATGGTGGTGATTGGCACATGTACGACAACACAACGTTATGATAGTTATAATGCCTCATACTGGTGAATGCTCACAAAACACTCAGGGATGTAAACAGTAATATTGTGTATCCATGGTTTTCTATCAAATGCATAAACCAACATTGAATAATTAAACATCATCTGCTATTAAATATGATAGTAATGTGTGCACTGTTTATTTGTAGATGCTGTTGAGGATTGTTTATTGGATAACATCAAAGATGTCCTTCATTATCAGTTGAAACCAGAAACATTATGTTTGTTGGTTCAACAGACATTTACTCCAACTGAGAATATAACATCAAATTATCAAAGGGAACTCCTTCATTATTGTGATAAATTTACTGGAAAAAACCAACATATCAAGGTAATGCTAACAATTCATCACAGTTTCAATGAAATTACAAAAGTGCAATCTGTTTTATCTCTTCAAAGTGCAATCTGTTTTTTATCTCTACAAAGTGCAAGATTCACTCTCACTCAATACACGAGTCTTCAAGTATTCATTGTGTTCTCTTCATCATCAGTGAAATTAAATCAGATTTCAGAATGCCCATTTAGTTCAAAAATAATTGAAAACAAATTTTTTAAAACGCTGAAGCAATATTTTGGAAAGATGCATCATGTTCAAATAAGGCTTTTGTGACAAACTGTGGGCAGAAGGTCATCCTAAATGCTTTCCTTCATATTTAATTTAGACAATGACTGAATTCCTTTAAATTACCAAGTCAAATTATCTCTCTACTATGTACCAATGT